CGCTTTTACACACAGACGCTTTTACATTCAGACGCTTTTACACACAGACGCTTTTACACACAGACGCTTTTACACGCAGAAGCTTTTACACACAAACACTTTTACACACAGACGCTTTACACAGAGACGCTTTTGCACACAGACGCTTTTACATTCAGACGCTTTTACACACAGACGCTTTTACACACAGAGGCTTTTACACTCAGAAGCTTTTACACGCAGAAGCTTTTACACACAAACACTTTTACACACAGACGCTTTACACACAGACCCTTTTACACACAGACACTTTACACACAGACCCTTTTACATACAGACTCTTTTACACACAGACGCTTTTACACACAGATGCTTTTGCACACAGAGACTTTTACACACAGGCGCTTTTACACACAGACGCTTTTACACACAGACGCTTTCACACACAGCCGCTTTGACACAGACACTTTTACACACAGAAGCTTTTACACACAGACGCTTTTACACACAGAAGCTTTTAGACACAGACGCTTTTACACACAAACACTTTTACACACAAACACCTTTACACACAGACGCTTTTACACACAGTCGCTTTTACATACAGACACTTTCACACAGCCGCTTTGACACACAGACACTTTTACACACAGACGCTTTTACACACAGACGCTTTTACACACAGACGCTTTTACACACAACACTTTCACACACAGAGGCTTTTACACACAGAAGCTTTTACACACAGAGGCTTTTACACACGGAAGCTTTTACACACAGGCGCTTTTACACACAGACGCTTTTACACACAGACGCTTTTACACACAGACGCTTTTACACACAAACACTTTTACACGCAAACACTTTTACACACAGAGACGTTTACACCCAGAAGCTTTTACACACAGACGCTTTTACACACAAACACTTTTGCACACAGACGCTTTTACACACAGAGGGTTTTACACACAGACGCTTTTACACACAGACCCTTTTACACACAAACACTTTTACACACAGAGACTTTTACACACAGACGCTTTTACACACAGAAGCTTTTACACACAGACGCTTTTACACACAGACGCTTTTACACACAGACGCTCTTACACACAAACACTTTCACACACAGAGGCTTTTACACACAGAAGCTCTTACACACAGAGGCTTTTACACACAGAAGCTTTTACACACAGGCGCTTTTACACACAGAAGCTTTTACACACAGAAGCTTTTACACACAGAACTTTTTACACACAACACTTTCACACACAGAGGCTTTTACACACAGAAGCTTTTACACACAGGCGCTTTTACACACAACATTTTCACACACAGAGGCTTTTACACAGGCGCTTTTACACACAGACGCTTTTACACACAGACGCTTTTACACACAGACGATTTTACACACAGACGCTTTTACACACAGAAGCTTTTACACACAGACGCTTTTACACACAGACGCTTTTACACACAGACGCTTTTACACACAGAAGCTTTTACACACAGACTCCTTTACACACAGACCCTTTTACACACAGAAGCTTTTACACACAGTAAAATTGCAATTTTTTGTCAGTTTTTGACGTCCAACGTCCATTTCGTGCGTAAGGGTTGCGATTGACAACTCAAAATCGCAATTTTTCCTCAGTTTTTGACGTCCAACGTCCATTTCGTGCGTAAGGGTTGCGATTGACAACTCAAAGTCGCAATTTTTCCTCAGTTTTTGACGGCCAACGTCCATTTCGTGCGTAAGGGTTGCGCGGGACACTTCAAAGTCGCAATTTTTCCTCAGTTTTTGACGTCCAACGTCCATTTCGTGCGAAAGGGTTGCGCGCGACACCTCAAAGTTGTAATTTTTCCTCAGTTTTTGACGTCCAACGTCCATTTCGTGCGAAAGGGTTGCGCGGGACGCTTCAAAGTCGCAACTTTTCCTCAGTTTTTGACGTCCAACGTCCATTTCGTGCGAAAGGGTTGCGCGGGACGCTTCAAAGTCGCAACTTTTCCTCAGTTTTTGACGTCCAACGTCCATTTCGTGCGAAAGGGTTGCAATGGACAAAGTAAAATCGCAATTTTTCCTCAGTTTTTGGCGTCCAACGTCCATTTCGTGCGAAAGGGTTGCGTTTCGTGGCGCTCCGGCGGCACCGCCACCGCCTTAAGAGAGAATAGAAGAAGAGCGAGAGGAGATCTGCAGATGTGAAGGTGTGAAGATGTAGATCGGCAGATGTGAGAGTGTGAAGATCTAGATCTGCAGGTGTGAGGGTGTGAAGATCTAGATCTGCAGGTGTGAGGGTATGAAGATCTAGATCTGCAGATGTGGGGGTGTGAAGATCTAGATCTGCAGATGTGAAGGTGTGAAGATCTAGATCGGCAGATGTGAGGGTGTGAAGATGTAGATCTGCAGATGTGAGGGTGTGAAGATCTAGATCTGCAGGTGTGAGGGTGTGAAGATCTAGATCTGCAGGTGTGAGGGTGTGAAGATCTAGATCTGCAGATGTGAAGGAGTGAAGATCTAGATCAGCAGATGTGAAGGAGTGAAGATCTAGATCAGCAGATGTGAAGGTGTGAAGATCTAGATCTGCAGGTGTGAGGGTGTGAAGATCTAGATCAGCAGATGTGAAGGAGTGAAGATGTGAAGGAGTGAAGATCTAGATCCGCAGATGTGAAGGAGTGAAGATCTAGATCAGCAGATGTGAAGGAGTGAAGATCCAGATCAGCAGATGTGAAGGAGTGAAGATCCAGATCAGCAGATGTGAAGGAGTGAAGATCTAGATCAGCAGATGTGAAGGAGTGAAGATCTAGTATAACGGCTGCTTTTTTACGAAGAACCCTTCGCAGGCGCTCTCGGGAAAAACACTGGGATGGAAAGATATGAATCGAGTTCAACTGGTTTTGTATGAAATGTGCCCATGCTGTGAGTGACCTTTTCTTTGAACTAACTCCAGAATGTGGTAAACCCAAAAATAAACTATCCCAAAGGTTTATTGGTTATACCCCCATTCATGGGATGATGTTTATCATGACCCCCAGTCATGGCTGGTTGTTCATGGGATGGTCCCATCAAACGTGCAAGGGGGACTTCGACAAAAGCTGGCAAGGGACCCAGGGACCCTCCTATCATCAACATATCAATGGAGAACCTCCATGAAAATATCATGTGCATCCATTTATGGATGATTTTCCTGTTAAAAAAATTGTGATGTATTTTGAGATATTGTGATGTATATTGTGATAAGGTGTGATACTCCATCATCTGTGATTTCCCCTCTGGTAAACAAACATAGCTATTGAAAATGGCCATAGAAATAGTGGATGTACCCATGAAAAAGGGTGAATAGTTTTTTGTATGTTTACCAGAGGGTAAATAGCACCCCACACGCACCCCACATTCCCAGGAAGCCTGGCCTTTGGCGGGCGGAATGTATCCCACCAATCTCAAGGCGGAAGTGCATCACCATCGAAGCAAATGGGCACCTCGTCATGTCAGAAACCTGCCAAATATCAATATTACCCTCTGGTAAACTAACATAGCTATGGAAAATGGCCATTTATAGTGAGTTTTCCCATGAAAAATTGTGATTTTCCATAGCTATGTTAGTTTACCAGAGGGTACGGATGATGTCACCATGATTCGAACAAGAATTCAGGGGATTCAGGGGAATGTAAGGATATGTAAGGAACATTTTCAGTAACGATTGTGGCTTTCCATCCGTTAAAGGTTGGCTAGTAGTTTGACACAAAACGAGTCGCGTTGCCGTTTGTTGATGGATGGGAATTGGTACTGATTATGCTGACTCCTTTTTTGCATGGTACCATCTGGTTATGACTAACAGTTCGCCATGGAAAATCCCAACCATAAATGGAGCTTTCGTTCGCTGGGAAAATCATCTATTTCTATGGGCCATCGAAGAACCATGGCTATGTTAGTCATAACCAGAGGGTATACCATTAAATCCCATTAAACCACCATAAAAAGTCTTTAAACCACCATTTTCCTATGGTTTTCCTATGGTAACTGGGGCATTTTAACCATAACTCACTGGACATGAAGATTTGGGTGAAATGATGATTAACCATCAGCAACCGATGCGTTTTTCACCATGTCCAATCTGGGTGAAGTTGGATTTATCTCTGTTGGGGATGATGTAAAGTAACCCCAAAATCAAATGAGCCCCAATAAGTGGCCCCGCTATATATATATATATAGATCTGTATATATATATAATATAGTATATGTATATTTTTGTTTAGGGTTGAAACTACCATATTTTGAATTCCCATTGGTTGGTTCATACGGAAGGCGTTACCCCAATTCTGTTGTAAACCGGATGTTTTTTCGAGGATGAAGTCCAGGGGGTTTCAGAAAAGCTGCAGCATTCCACCAGCCCAAACAATTTGCTAACCAGTACTGAAATGGGGATGGGTCAAAACCCTCTCTCTTTTCTCTCTTTTGGCAGAAGCTCCTGCTCAGAAGTCGGAGACAGGTGCTCGACCTCGTGACACCAAAACTGTTAGTCCCCACCTGGTGGAATCAAACCAAGGTCACGTTCGATCTGTCGGGCCGGCATGTGCACGATGTGGGCCTTGTAAAAGGAGTCGATCGTTTGCAATCGCTCCTCCGGTAAAGAAACTCGAAGGGCTCCGCACCAGAACGCCAGTACGTGACTACTGGGCCGTCGCTGTTGAATGTCAAGGTGATGGCCTGTAGCGCTGCCAAGGCCTTTCAGGAATCGAGAAAACCACTGCACATGTTTCTTATAACTATATGGCTTGGTTTTATCGGGGCAAATCCATTTAGGGCCTGTGCTAGCTGGTCCCCATCTCTTCGTGTGCAGCTGATAGTCTATCATCAGTTGATGAAAAGTGACCCAAACTACAGGCGCTGAGGATACAAGTGTTTGCATCCATTCCAAGACATGTGGGAGCTCTTCTATCTGGAACTTTTTGGGCAGGTCTACGCTGGAGAGTCCGGCCACGTACGCAAGGTTGGCATCAACTTCAGTGGCAAAAGCACTGGTCATCCCTTCTGGTGGTGGTGCTTCGTTGGTCGGCATTGTGGTGGATAAAACTCTTTGTCCTATGGCAACAATGACACTGTGCCATGCTTTTCCAAAGGCTCGGAGTTGTGCAAGTTCGGTTACCAAGCTGTCTACAATCTGTTGCAGACGAGGTGGAAAGTTCAGATATGCATCGTTTGCGCTTTTGTCTGCCATCTGGTTTCCCCAAACAGCAAATTGGTCTACCAAAGTGGGCTGGCTGTCCTTGTCAGCGTGTGCTTGCACTTCGTGGATCGCTTCAAGAAACCGATGTGAAAATCTGAATTGGTCGCGGAGCAACCACCACAAATCTGCATCCTGTTTCTTATGGACTGGCGGGTCAAATCCTTGGTGCCAATTGCTGAGCATGTCAAAAACTTGTTGATTATCAATCCATAACCTGCCTTGTCGGCCGACGGCGGCAAGGTACTTGAGGGCTGAAACTGCTGCTGTGATCTCTGCTCTAAGGCTGGTCTGCTTCCATCCTGGTAGCCCTCCGGATGAGGTGCTCCAAAATAGCTTGCCTGTCCATTGAACCACACCCCAACTGGCAATCCTTGTGTGAGGATCGTGTGGTCTCTTACAGCTTCCATCTAGGAAAAGGTCAAGCGTCTGGATTGATTCATCTACTTCGGGCGGATGGAAAAATTCACCTGTGGTATCTGGCATGTTGAGCAGTGCTTTACGGAAGGCTTGCTTGTGTGCGGCTTGGGGAATCCATCCGTGACACCAAGTGCTGGCTGGCATGTCTGGAAACTGCTCGGGGTTGATATACTGCTGTCTGATATCCTGAAAAAAGCTGCATTCGACATGGCGATGAAAAAGGCTGTCGGCCTTTCCGCAAAAACGGCATCGGTCATCTGTGGTCTTGCCCGCATGGAACAAGGCGTCATTTGTGTATTGCGTGCCGTTCAAGGCGCATCGCAGGAGACCCTGGTGCTCGATCGGTTGTGTCTTGTAAAGTTCTTTGGTGAATCTAACATCTGCATTTGAGAGGCCTACCATGGTTGTTCTATCATCTTCTGTCAACCCTTGAACTCTCTGTTGCCAAGCTGCGATCACTCTTTCACTGAGTTCACTGCGCGGGCATTGCATGAACCTGACAGGCAATCCATCTTGGTCATGACACAAATCCCCCCGTACCCAGCTCCAAGCCAGGGTTTGGAGAGCTGTCAGGAAACTTTTGCATGGGCCGGGGGTTGTTCGGCCTTTATCCATGATGAGGCTAAGGGTAAACTGGGCCATATCAAGGGTACAAAAGTCTCGGAAAGACAGAACAGTGTTCAAAACACAAAATAGTTCAGGATCTGTGCAAGGATGGCTGACGCAGGATAGCTGAAGCATCGGGTTGGCTCCCATCTGATGCAGATTCAATGCCTTGGTGGCTTGGGTTCGTAGTTTTTGGAAATGGTTTTTGCCTAAGGTGATAGTGCTGATACCATAAAACATGTTGGGCCAAGCTGCAACATAAAGAGCCCGTTCTTTTTGTGCAGTCGGTGCACACGACCTGGCAAGTTTTGACCAAAAGGGACTACATGTGCTAATTTTGTCCTGCACCGTGCGATTGGTGCTGAGTCTGGTATAGTTCATGTGGCCTCCCAAACCTCGGCTGTAATACTTTCGATTTGTACCTGAGTCAAGAATGAGCTTTCGCCCACCGGGTGTGTTGGCCCAGGCATAGCTTTTGCCGGGATCGATTTGTAAGTCACCCTGGCCTCCCTTTGCATGTGCTATGGGGGGTCGTGGGCGACATTGTGGTTTTGCAGCGTCGTGGGTGGCTTTGCAGCGTCGTGGGTGGCAAAAGACGGTCGTTGGTTTTTGTCTTTGGATCTTTTGGCTTTTCTTCCTTATATTTTGTTTGTCTTTCGTTGTTGGTGTCCGCGTTTCTGGGGTTTGGTTGTCTGTCTTTTGGCTTTTCTATTTGGTTTTGGTCGCTTTTCCTGTTGGTGACTGGGGTTTGCTTCGAAGCAGCTTGGTTGTCTGTTTTTTGGCTGTTCTACTTGGGGGTTCTGGAGGCTTTTTCTGTTGGTGTTCGTGGTTTGCTTCTAGGGTTTGGTTGTCTGTCTTTTGGCTTTTCTATTTGGTTTTGGTCGCTTTTCCTGTTGGTGTCTGCGGTTTGCTTCGAAGCAGCTTGGTTGTCTGTTTTTTGGCTGTTCTACTTGGGGGTTCTGGAGGCTTTTTCTGTTGGTGTTCGTGGTTTGCTTCTGGGGTTTGGTTGTCTGTCTTTTGGCTTTTCTATTTGGTTTTGGTCGCTTTTCCTGTTGGTGTCTGCGGTTTGCTTCGAAGCAGCTTAGTTGTCTGTTTTTTGGCTGTTCTACTTGGGGGTTCTGGAGGCTTTTTCTGTTGGTGTTCGTGGTTTGCTTCTGGGGTTTGGTTGTCTGTCTTTTGGCTTTTCTATTTGGTTTTGGTCGCTTTTCCTGTTGGTGTCTGCGGTTTGCTTCGAAGCAGCTTGGTTGTCTGTTTTTTGGCTGTTCTACTTGGGGGTTCTGGTCGTTTTTTCTGTTGGTGTTCATGGTTTGCTTCTGGGGTTTGGTTGTCTGTCTTTTGGCTTTTGTCTTTTGTTGTTTGGGTTCGTTGTTTTGTTGTTTGCCTTTGCGGCTGGTATGGTGCACCGCAAAATTGCCAGCCCTGGCTCTGCTACCAAACGTGCAATCCCTAAAATGGAGGCGACCATATGTGTATCAGCAAACAAGCAGCCAAATTTGCCACAGCTGTGTTGTGCTGTAATTTTGCATCGTGCTTTAGTCCTGCGAAATCGTTTTGGCAGGAGCCAGCCGACAAACAAAGCGCCAGAAAAAAAATACACATATATGATCATATAACATACTATATCATAATATTATTTTTATATATAGAAAATATTAGTGATTTTCTTCTGGGATGATAATAGGATTGAATTCCATGGGGAATTTCGAAGATGTTTGCCTTATTTAGTCCTAATGGAATAACCGTGGGGGTCCTACAACAAGCAACCGTCACATATAAGTATATACACAGGGTATAGGTATATACATATATACCAAGGATACGCGTGAACCCTTCACTACAAACGGTCGTCAAAAGATCCCATTCCTGAGTTCCCAAACACCCAGAAATTTAAATGAAATAGAAGGGTTTTGGAAACACTGTTTATTTCCGGCAGTTTGGTCCACTATTTTTTCACCGAAATCGCTCAACTTGCCGCAGGGTGAGACATCCGGCTCCTGGACTGGACAGTATACGTAGGTACACGGTACCAGAAAAATTGGGAAACTCGTTTGTTAGTTTTTTAGAAAATATTGTTCACAAAAGGTTCCATATATGTTGGACTGGATCGAATCTGCAGAATCCGAAATCACGCACGCAGGGTGAGACATCTAGATCTGATCCATGCACTGGACAGTTCATGGCCGATTTGGGAAAACTGGGACACTTCTACATGCCCTATTTTGTTTTTATTTTCTGGAATTGTTTTGTCACAGTCACAGTGCATATAGGTACCATGTTGAATCTCAATCCCACATGGTTCGCTCGCAGACTCGCAGCAGGGTGAGACATCGATCCGTGGCTCCTGGACTGGACAGTAAAAAATCCAAGATGCACATTTTTTTCCCTGCTTGTTGAACTTGTGAGACTTGCACATTGCAAAGCAAAACACGTTTACCTGTTGGAAAAAACCTCGAACAAAAACATTACCTGAATCTTGGAAAAAAGTAAAATAAATTTCTCAAATCAAAACCAACACATTTGAATTTTGGGTTTGCGCGATCATGGGAGCAGCACATGGAACGTGCAAGATTTCAGCGCCAGGAACCCAGCTGATCAAAACCAGCCCAGCTCAAGCCAGCTCATCACAATCTTGAAAAAAACATTTCAGATTCCTTGGCATGGGTCTCAAATTTCCCCCAGTCGATTAGGAACCTTCGAGTCTAAGGAGTCTAAGGAGTGTCTAAGGAGTCTAAGGAGTCTAAGGAGCTGTTCACTGGAGCTGTGATGCATGCTGGAATCCGCTCTCAGGTCGGCGTGCCTTCGAAGTGAGACAAGGTGCCTCAGAAGCCAAAGGATGCTTCACTCATCACAATTTCCCAGGTGCAGTTGATCATGGCAAAAGTATCACACTTACATATGCATGATGTAAAAGGTTTTGGCTCAGCATTTGATACAAAAAACATGGGCAAACAATTTATATAAAAGCAACGCAAATTACATTTTTGGGGGAATTTCCCCAGCTGCATTTGTGCAGAATCCTGCTGACAACTCCATGACCTGCAAAAAAACTGCTGAGTGGCGCACTGCAAAGCCATGGATGAAGACAACCAGAAGTCTCCGGAAACCGCCTTCAAATGGATGGAAAGGCGATGCAAGGCTGAGAATGTGCGCTTATGCCTGGTTCTCCCAGCCTGTTTAAGTTGCAACTACCAGTGAGATGCGTCATTTTCTAACATTAATTCGAATGTTACATTTCACATTCCCGCTCCAGCTCAAAGGTATGTGTCTCCCTCAAAAAAAATGTTTTGCCATAGATTTAGTATATAATTATATGCTTGGGATTGCATAGGTATATATATGATGAAACTCAAAGCTACCTTGCTGGCTCAGTGGTCATGACACGTAGCTGGCTCAGCGCAAGAAAATTCTTTAAAAAATCTTTTGCTGTTGCCGCTTTGATGTCAAGATTCACCCCTGAAACGCTGTTACGTTCAACCTCTTGGTGCCATGTTGGATGGTTGATCGGTCAGCACGTGCCAGAGGTGTGGCTGGCTGCGCTGGACCAGTCGTCCTAGGATCGGTTTCGAAATCCCGATCTACTTCGTGGTGTTTTGGTTTTTGCTCAGGGTTCATCTTCTCGATCTCCGTGGTGATTTGGTGGATTCTTCTCCACTGACGGGCTGGCAGTGCTTCCTTGCTTGGAGCGATGATTGGCCCCATGGCGGATCCCCTGAAAGGTGCTGAGGAAGACCAACTTTGTTTTACGGTGCAATGGCTTTACGGTGGTGAGCCGG